GCAGAGTGTTTGGCCTGTGGGGCTGGAGGTGCATGCCACCATCCAGGGGTCTATCCGTGGTCATTCTCTGCTACCCTATGCCACGTTCTCAGTGACATCTTGTTTAGAGAGTCTGAGAACACTACCAGAGCCAAGGCTTTCATCAGTGTGAGAACACAGGGAGCCTCCTTTGGTAGAGGGGGACAGACCTACTGTTGGTGGTATCACACTGACCTAATGCATAGCTTTGACACCACAGTATGCAGGCCACCATCTGGCTTCGCACAGTGTAGGTGCAAGGTCATTGTCAGCAGCCTGGCTGCCCCTCACTGATTGAGGAAGTGGAGGCTGTTTTGTCGGGGCTGAGGATTGGGGGTTGGGGTTCTGCTTCCTTATTCATCTTTGAAGACCTATCTTGACCCTGCCTTCCCAGGAAACCCCCTAAAGTTCCCTTTAGTTCACAGCCCTATCCCCTTTCTCTCCCTTTATTTTCACTGGTGTTGCTCTTACTGGTTTAATTTCTGGATTTATCCCTGCTGGCCCATCTGCTCTGGGAATACAGGAATCATGGATTTGCTCATCACTGTAACTCCAGGGCTTACCACCATGGTGTTGAAACCTGAAAACTGACAAATGCTTTCACTTCTTAATTCTCCCTTCCCCCCAAATTACTGTTTACCTTTGAGGTTGTGGCTAAGAAGCAAAAGGCCAATGACCTCAGGCCCCTCTGACCAGTCCCCAAGTAAGAGCTGTGTTGTAAGAGGCAGAGGCCGTTGCATGTGGCATTTGGATGGAATGATGTAACCCTGGCCTTTGAGATCCTCGTGCAGCTCAAGTGTCAGTGGGGCCCCAACATCCTTGGTGAGTCCTATAAAACTGGGTGATATGTCCATTCCTTGCATAATGAGGGCCCAGCCAACTGCTCGGTCTCCGAGGAGATTCTTAAATATTAAGTATTTTTCTGAGTCCTCTGCATTCTGTTTTCCAGCGTCCTGGATCTCTGCTACCTTTGACGTTTTAGGTGGTCTTATCTCATAGCTGACCCACAATGAGTTTCAGCACCCTTAACCTAATTTTTCCTAAATAACACGCATCTAAATCCATTCAGTGTCACATATATCATTAGAGATTCAGCATCAGTATGTGGGAGTGAATGATTATATAGATAATAGCACAGCAGATTAAACTGATTGTTTGATATCAACAATCTTAAAATCCTCTGTCTCTGGGCCCCTACTCAAACTGGAGAATGTTCCCTCCCTTCACCTTTAGCTGCTGATTCCACTTCTTGGGTCTCTCAGGCTTTCCAACCTCCTCATTTCCACCCTGGCTCACCTCTTCACCCCCTATCTCATTTTTTTTTCAACCATAAAAGACACTCTTTTTAAAAAATTATTTTATTTTTGGACATGTTTTCCAAGTTTATCAAAGTATAATGAAAGTAAATGTATTTGCATATACTTTCAGTACGGAACTGTGTCAGTTTTGATGTATGCATAGCCATGACAACCACATCTCAAACAAAATTTCCATCACCCCCCTGCTCCGAAAGTCTCTCTGTGCGCTTTTGAATCCATTTCTCCTTCCACCCCACACTCTGGCAAACACTGCCACCGAGGTGCTCCTCTCTTTAGTCATCACTTTGTACTTTTTATGTATGGCTCATGCAGTATTGCTATGGTTTCTGTTTCGATGGCCCCCAGAGCCTCACTCAATCAAGGGTACTAGTTTATAGCTAAATGTGCTGTTGGGGTGGGGCCTGGTCAGAAGTGGGTCACTGGGCTCCTGACCTGGAAGGCTGTGTTTTCCTCCCCAGCTCCTCCCTTCTCTGCTTCCCCACTACCGAGGCATGAGCAGCTTTCCCTCCACTGTGCCTTTCTGCCACATCTTCCTCACTTGGAAACAGATGATTCTGCACTAAAAACATGAGAAAAGGTAAATCCCTCCTCCTCTAGTGTTCCCGTGACGGTAAAGTGTCTAAGGTAAATATATCTGCTCTCTTTTCCCTGTTTTTTTTTTTCTCTTAGTGTACTAGTTTTGAGCCTCTTCAACAGTGGTGTTCAGTTTGTCTTTATACCTGAGCAATATTTCATTGTATATTTACACCCCAATTTGTTTATTCACTTGTTTGCTGTATTATTCTGCTTTCTGTTGCCACAATGAAACACTAGAGGCTGGTACTTATAAAAAAAAGTTCACTGTTCTGGAAATTTAAGGGCATGGTGCCAGCCCTGTTTACCTCTGGTGAAGGCCTCATGGTGGACTAAGTCACAATGGCAAGAAAGGAAGACACAATATCATGAGATGAGGGGTCAGAGCAAGAGGAGCCAATCTTGTTCTTTTTATAAGAACTCTTTTGGTATAACTTATGAAAAGCCCTACAAAACTACCATAGTCCATCTGAAGACAGTTCCCAAGTGACTTCCCACTGAGCCAACCTCCAAAGGTCCACAGGCTGCCAACATCACCAGAGGTCTAAGCTCCTGATGCCAACACGGAATCCCTGGGGACAAACTCAGACCCTATCCAACCACAGAATTACCAATGGAGCTGAATTTTTGAGTTTTGACTGTAACAAATCAAGTTCCACATCTATAAGCCACAGCGTGTGCACACACACACACACACACACACACACACACACACACACAGAGCCACATTCAAGGCTTTGGGTTTCTTGGTTTTCTTTCTTTTTTTCTATGGTCCTAGGAGTTGAACCCAGTGCCTCTGCACAGTTACAATCCCAGCTCTTTTTGTGTGTTTATTTACATATTTTTTTTTTGAAATGGGTTTTTTTCTAAATCCTTAAATTGTATAGGCTGGGCTTAAACTTGTGATCCTCTTGCCTCAGCCTCCCAGAGTGCTGGATTTACAGCTATGCAACACCACACCAGGCTCCATGCTTTATTTTTGCTTAAATAAATGCCTATAAGTGGAATGATTGTTATATGGTATGTGTACATTTAAGAAACTGCCACACTGATTTCCAAAGTGGTTGTATCAGCTTACATTCCACCAGCAACTTACAAAAGTTCCATTTGCTCTGTGTGCCCTATTCCTCATCTATAGCTATCTATCTATCATCTATCTATCTATCTATCTATCTATCTATCTATCTATCTATATTTGGTACTGGGGGTTGAACTCAGAACCACGTGCTTGACAAGCAGTTGTTTATTCCTCTGAGCTGAATCCCCAGCCCTTCCTCATCAATTTTTGTTAATGCTCATCACTTTAAAATTATTTGCATGTGAGCATGCACATGAGGATGTGTATTTGAGACACTGCTGCTTAACTACATCCCTGATTTCATTTCTTTCCTTGTTCCCTCTACTTTTTTTTTTTTTTTTCCTTTTGGCTTCATTTCTAACAAGTAGAGCATATGCTTAGGTTTGTGGAAAATAAAACCAGATTATTTTTATTGTTTCAGTAAATTATTAATCATTTTCCTCTTAATCTCCAGTGCTCTGGTGTAGGTACATACATGGTTTTTCTGTTCCTTGCCCACGTGACCATGCCCCAGGCCATTTTAATACAGCACACCACCCACATCTGGCCCAACCGGGATTACTGCAGTTTCTCTGTTTCTGTTAGTCTCACCATGTACCCCAGGCTGGCCTCGAACTCCCCAGCATAATCCTCCTGCCTCACCTGCCCAAGTGCTGGGGTTACAGGTGTGCAGTACCCAAAACACCCGGCTTATTTCTGTGCATTTCCTAAACTTTTTCTTTTTTCCAGACTACAGCAGGATTTCAGGCAGTGGAGGGACACAGCCTGCAACTCAGCTGGGAGTGGTCTGGTGGAGTCAGAGCTGTGCATTCTTGTTGTCAAGTGAGAAGCCAACAGAGAGGCAGGTAGAGCCTGGTTTAGGGAGCCAGGCAATGCCTGAGGACATCGGTGGAGCTACCTCCAACCATGCTTGTTCTGTAACTTTCCCCCAGGGATCCAGGAAATGCCTGTTTTATGTCAAAGCTAGTCTGACCTGCGTCACTGTCCCTTGGAATTATGAGGGTCCTGACTAATACCTCTAGCAGGGGACTGTGCCTCAGGGAGGCAGTAGCATTTTGTCAAGCTTCCGTTGTCCAGTTTTTGCCTTCTCTGAGAACTGCTGTTTTTGCCACCGTGGTTTCTGGAATTCAGAGCAGGGACACTGGTCACAGAGTTTGGGTCTGCTGCTTCGAGGTCGCTAAATGCCCAGGGTCAAAGTATTCAACAAATCGAATACTCCAGCTCCAAGTATCCACTCCAGAGTAGCAAGCTCTTTAATCGTTAACTAAATTATCATTTTGCAATGTGATCCAAAAACCAGGGAAGCAGCCCACATTTCTCAATAGCATTTCTTTCCTTTTAATAATTAGATTTCATACATAGAAAAAGATGCCCTTAGTGACTCAGAGCCCTTATTGACACGAAAAATCCTACCAAAGAGCTATGTGAACCACCGAGAAGCGATAGCCTCCCTGAAACCTCCGTGTCCTGTCGTGAGAGACGCTAAAACCCCTCATAAAGCGGGCACCTTAGGCTTTGTCCGCGCCCCCTGACCGGGGAACAACAGCGAGGGAGGGCTCACCTGCTCAGATTCTGCACAACCTGCGCTCAGGACAACCTAGGTCCCCAAGACCCCGCCTCCCGAGACCCCGCCTCCCCAAGGCACCGCCCCGAGGTCCCGCCCCAGAGACCCCGCCCCCCGAGGCCCCGCCCCCCGAGGCCCCGCCTCCCCGCCCTCAAAGGCCCGCCTTTTCCACAAGCGTAGTCCCCGCGCTCTCTGGTTTCCTCTCCGTCCTCTCATGCCTTGGCCCCGCCTCTCACGCCCCGGCCCCCGCACAGTCCGGTTCGCTCTCCACCCCGCCCTCCGCTGGCCCTGGTCCTGCCTCCTGTGGCCCGAACCCCGCCCCCACGTTCCTGCGCTCCCGCTCCACCCCCACGCGCCCTGGCCCCACCCCGCGCCCTGAGGCTCCACCTCCCGCGCCTTAAAGATTGGGCCCCGCGCTCTCCGCTCTTCTCCACACGCGGCGGTTCTGGCCCCGTCCCGACGCTCCTGGGCTCCGCCCCTGCGCTCTTAGGCTCCGCCCCGCCCTCTAGGGTCACTCTCCACCGGGGCCCCGACCCCGCCCCGCGTCCCCGGGCTCGGCGCCAGGGCCTCTGGAGTCCTAGGAGGCGTGGCCTGGAGGAGGCGTGGCCTGGGCGGAGGCGTGGCTGCGCGGCGGCGCGGTCTGCAGCCCCGGGACTCCGGCTTTGACACCGCGGCGAGCAGGAGCCTGGCGCGGGCGTGGGGTAGGGACAAGCTCCCGCGGATCCCGCGCCCGAGTTGGGTGCGGGCCCTTTCGCATAGGTAAGTGAGGCGGGCGTTATCAGCGCAGCCTGGGGCGACCGCCTTTCTCCTACCTGGGGAGCGACGCCGCGTCCGTCCTGCAGGCAGCGCTGAGACTCGGCCCGCGTAATCCTCGGGGCGCACCGAATGGGGCGGACTCTCGAAGCACCGAGAAGGGGCGAAACCCTGAGCCCCTCGCAGGTCCATTCCACGGGCTGAAGTTCCCGGGATGCGCCCTCCTCTGCGGTGTGTCCAGGCCGGGAGGGGGGACGCTGGGGTTAGTGAGGGAAGAGGCCTCTCCAGGACCCCAGGAAGACTACACGGCCTCTGCCTCTGCGTGTCTGCGCTCGCAGGCCACTGCAGCCCTTGCCCTGAGCTCCTGGGCGCGAGCTCGGAATTCTAGCACGTGTAGGGAGCGCTAGTGTCAGAGGATCAGTTCAAAGGATTTATGTGTTCCTCCCTCCTAGGTGGCCGAGGGAAAGTTGATTTGAATACTCAGAGACATGAGAGAGTTGGTGTTTGGCTGCAGCAACCTCAACAGCCCCTAAGCCCTGCATCTGCCATTCTGACTTTATAAGCTCTTCCAGTCCTCTTCCCTGTGGTGGGGACACCTTCCTAGGCCCTAATCTGACCATGGGGAGCACCCTGGGCTGCCACCGCTCCATCCCCAGGGACCCTTCTGACTTGTCCCACAGCCGCAAGTTCAGTGCAGCCTGCAACTTCAGCAACATCCTTGTGAACCAGGAGCGGCTCAACATCAACACGGCCACAGAGGAAGAGCTGATGACGCTGCCTGGGGTGACCCGGGCCGTGGCCCACAGCATTGTGGAGTACAGAGAATACATCGGGGGCTTCAAGAAGGTGGAGGACCTGGCCCTGGTCAGTGGTGTGGGTGCCACCAAACTGGAGCAAGTCAAGTTTGAGATCTGTGTGAGCAGTAAGGGCAGCTCCGTGCAGCACTCTCCCAGCTCCCTGCGGCGGGACCTGCTGGCTGAGCAGCAGCCTCATCATCTGGCCACTGCTGTGCCCCTCACGCCCCGTGTCAACATCAACACAGCCACCCCTGCCCAGCTCATGAGTGTTCGAGGCCTCACAGAGAAGATGGCCCTTAGCATCGTGGACTACCGCCGGGAGCACGGCCCCTTCCGAAGTATAGAGGACCTGGTAAGGATGGATGGTATCAACGCTGCCTTCCTGGACAGGATACGGCACCAAGTGTTTGCGGAGAGGTCCAGGCCCCCATCCACCCACACCAATGGGGGCCTGACCTTCATTGCCAAGCCTCACCCCAGCCCCACCTCACTGAGCCTGCAGAGCGAGGACTTGGACCTGCCACCAGGGGGGCCCACGCAGATCATCTCTACGCGGCCCTCTGTAGAGGCCTTTGGTGGCACGAGGGATGGGCAGCCAGTGCTGAGGCTAGCCACCTGGAACTTGCAGGGCTGCTCTGTGGAGAAGGCCAACAACCCCGGTGTTCGAGAGGTGGTATGCATGACACTCTTGGAAAACAGGTGAGATCAGAGTCACCAGGGATGCTGGGCAAATGTATTGGTGGCAGATGCAGAGTCGTGCCGTGTCCTCATTTGGGAGCCGGGAGGCAGCAAGTGTATTAAATCCATGTTCAGGGCCTGAGCCAGTACTGTCACCTGAGGGTGGGCTCTCTTTCTGCTCTGTGATTTTCTGAACTCAGCTGTCAGAGCTTAAGATACATATTGTGAGTGCAGTGTTTCCGAGATGGACCTTAGCTTGGGATAAATGGAGGTTGTGTTGGTGGCACTGCTTTGGAGCAGGTTGTTTGATTTACAAAACTCCATAAGGTTCGTAGAAACAGGAACTTAGCCTGGAAACTGGTGCAGAGTTTGCATATGAGAAAGAACTAATCAGGCCTTTTAATAATGGAAGGAAAAATTGTATTCATTCCACCAAATATGCCTATTCATGTGCACAAAATTATCGGAGTCTGTGTCTACCAAAATGCTGTGAAAGAATTGCTCTTTGCCGTTTTTCAATATTCAACCTTAAGTTGGATTTCAGTGTTACCTCTTTTGAGCATTGCTAGAAAAGCCCAGACCGGCCAGGTTTTCCCACTTGAGTCAAGGAGAGAGGCTGTTATCCGAGAGTGTTTACATTGTTCACAACTGTTGGTCTCTGTAGGAACTTCCGTTAATTCCCCATAAAACAAAACACTATGTCATGGCAGCAACTCCTGCTGTTGGTAAAACAGTGTGTGTCTTGGCTCCTTCCATGTCAGAAATCCTCTGATCCTGGTTTGGAGGGATTTTGCCCTGATACCCATCAGAGGTGCTGTGATTGTGACTTCTCGCTGTCATCCTCTGTATTGGGTGGCTGGTGAGGTTGGCTGGATGTCAATTTGGTGACATGGAGTGAGCTCTCAGTGGGAAAGCACAGTGCATTGTGGCAGATCATCAGGACAAATTAGCGAGGAGAAAAGCAGGTCACAGTGTTTCCCTGGCACTATCCCAGTGACACACTTTTGTGACTGAGAGAACGACTGTACACTGGGTCAGAGAGCTAGACCAGGGAGCCCAGAAGTACTCTTCCTGAGCTGCTGGGTCCTCGGCTTGCCCCCTAATTCACTGCTGCAGAATCATCCTGTGTACACGGACTTGTGCCCAGGGACTTAGCTCTGGTCATGCATATCAGAAATGACTTGATTACAGTCCTTAACAACAGCAGCATGGGTGAATGAATAAGAGCCGGAGGACAGTGAGAAACACAGCTATCTCCTATTAGGAGTTTTCTCAAGGCGAGTTCGGGGTAAAGAGGGATGAGTCAGGATCTGAAATTCCCAGTGGAAATGACAGCCCAGGCAGCCCTTGCCTGTTCGTTTTGTTGGTGTTTTGTCAAGCATGGCTCCTGGACCAGCACCATCAGCTGCTAATTCAGAAACTGTGGTTCCTGTGTTTAATGCCCCTCCAGGGGCTTTGGATGCACACTGGAGTGTGAGAGCCACTGTGTGAGGTGTGAGATTATCATGGCTCCTCTGGGATTCTTATTAACTCCCCTCTCTCTGTGCTGGCTTTTCTGGCATCGCCAATGACAGTGTTCCAGGTACTTATTCACCCTCTTGGGTTGTTGTGATCATCCTTGTGGCTCAACCCTGTGATGTTCTTTCTGGTCAGGATTGGAGAGGCTTATGCAGCTACCCAGGAGGCTGAAGCAGCTGGCCTCACTCTGCACCACGGAGATGAGGCTGCTAGGGGCTCACGGGGAAGAACCCTAAGTATTCTTGTCCAGCGTGGGTTTGCCCTACTTTTTTTCTGTGGATTTCCTAGATGAGTGATAATTTGTTGAAGACACTTCACTGCTGTCTCAGACGAGACTAGGAAAAGCTCCTCGTTCAAATCTAACAGCATGTAGAAGGAGCCATCTCTAGGTACTACTGCGAAGGCAGCCTGCCATTCCAGCGTGTCCTCACATTTGCCTGTGTGTGCTATTCTGTGGATTGTGGCTCCTTGTATCTGTTCACAGTGTGGTCAGTATGCTGAAAACTCCTAGGACACTGTTAGTGTCTGGTGCAGTAATAGGCTTAGGGTCTGATCCCCCACAGAGCTGAGGTGGGCGGGTACATTTGCCTGTGTGGCTGTCCCAGGGCACCGAAAGCTCTCACAGAGTGGTTCTCAGGTCCTTAGTGATAGACAGCAGTGCCCATTCTCCAAGAGCTGCAGTTTCATCCTGGTTCACAGACGTCTCTGACAATCTAGCTGTTCCTTTTATTAGCAGGAGGAAACTAGTGTGAACAAGAATGGATACAGGTGATTTTCCACAGGGCTCTTATTTCACACTTGTATACACATTAATCGAAAAGGTCCCTGACTTCTGGGTGTGCCTTTGTAGTTCCTCACAGCTTTCACATTTGTTTGATTTCTCCCTTACTTATGGGAAATAAATAGGTAACAATTGCTTTTATTAATGATTCTCCAACTCTGGGTGGAATAACTAAAAGCAAAGAAGGCAGTGACTGGTGTCTGAAATGCATCTCTTTCATGACTCAGCCGGGACGAGGACCTAGACCTTCTAACTTTAGACCAATGCATGTTGCAAGCACATTGTGACCGGTAAGAGCAGCTTCTCTGTCCTGCCCCAGGCTTAGGCGTCCCAGCCCCTGCTGTATCAAGGCCCCTTGCCAGATCATGTGCCAGTCAGTTTCCTAGTAAATCCATTGTAAAGGTATTTCAAAGCATTTATTTAGATAGTTTTGCAAAGGGACTAGCTAGTTCTGAGCTGCTTTTTCTTCGAGTTTGCTTCAGCAGGTGACTTAGGCTAAAGGGTACCAGTGTGGGTGGAAGGCTGAAGTCTCTTCTTGCTCCAAGAAGCTGCTGCTTTGGCAGATGATGTGTTTACCTGCGAAGCCTGAGCTAGAAGAGCACAGAGTGAGATAATTATAGAGTCACCAGCAGCCCTCAGGAACACTATGTTGGTGGCACAGAACTAATAGGTTTCATCAGATTCTTTTGCCAAACCTCAGTCTTAGGCAATGTTCTTCCTTGTTCAGTATTTGTGGAGCAAGACTGCAAGAGGAATACTTTTGCTAATTATCCTTGCAAAACATAGTGGTAGCGCACACATAGAATGAAGACTTAAAGAATAGAGACTTTTTAAAACTTTTTTTTTTTGCTGAGTAATTATTCTCTCTTGGCAAGATGCTTTGATTACTGAAAGCCTACTCCATGAGAGAGCTGACAGATAATCTCCAAAAAAAAAAAAGGTTATTTAACAACCCACTAGCTCATTTTCCTCACAGCCTGTGCTGGGAGGGAACTCCTTGTCAAAGTTGTTAACTTTATGATGGTTTCAATCTGCTTTTCTGCCACAGCTGCAGTCTCAAAGCTTAAGGTTGACTGGTGCCTGGTTGTGAAAAGAGAGATACAGGTTTGTCAGACCTGGTGAATGGGATCAATCTAGACACAGCCCGTGTTGTCATTGGACTCATTCATTGAAAGATATGTGTCGAAGGCCCGCTGCATACATGTGTAAACTCACGTCAGCTCGGCCTGTTTACTTCGCAGAATTGAGTATGCGTGGGTCTACTGGTATGGCCCAGCCTTAGAACAGCCTGGTAAGCTAGCTTTTATTAGGCTTTGGCACAGAGCATGATTGATACCAAGTTGTATTTTCCCCATATGAGTAACAGGCTCATTTGGGCAACTTAAGGATAGGCAGACACAGCCAGATGTAACTTCTGGAAACAATCTTCTTAAGGTAGAAATGGCAAATATTGATACCTGTGGAAACTGAGGCTCACAAGGATTAAATCTCATCACGTGACCTTGGGAACCATCAATGCTAGAGCTGTGAGTTCACATCTAGGACTGGGCTTGCCTTTTCCCAAACCCCGTGTCCTGCTTCTGACCCAGGCAGCCAGGCGCCCGCCCACTGGTTCCGCCATGTGGGGTCCTAGGCTGGCCAGCAGTCAGGACCTCGGGAAAGGAGGGGTTCACCTTGATCCCCAGGGACCACCCTGAGCTTTGGAGGTCTCTGCTCCCTTCCTGTATTTGTTCTTCCAGAGGATGGGGCGCATAGCCAGGCATCCAGGGGTGTGAGGCCCCTTCCACCCTGCCCTCAACTGTGAGTCCGAGACCTTGGGCTCAACTCCAAGGCGAGTTCCGGCTTTTTGAGCCAAGGAACTCTGGGTTGGTTCCAGAGAGAAAGGTAGTCAGCAGTAGGACAGCTGCGGCTCCCTAGAAGGGACTGTTTGTGAGAGGGAGCCCTAGCAGGCTCCATTAAGGGTTTATTTCACTAAAAAGGAAGGAGTTGTGGATTTTGCTTTTCCAACAAAGTTGGGCCCACTTTGGTTCTGACTGTGGGGGTTTGATAGTGTTGGTTCTCCCAGAGAATATCTATTCCTTTACTATTCATTCGTTCATACAACACTTTTGGGAGCCTTCTGTAAGTCCCGATTTGTGTGTCCTGCATGGCGAACAGGTCAAGTCTATGATCATCTGGTTTGTATTCTAGGTGGGAGACAGATGGGCCTGAAAGTAGATAAATGGCTCCTGGTGGGCACCAGTCCTGCCAGCATGATGGAAGGCACTGCAGAGAAGTCTGCTTGGACAGGAGGGGTCAGACAGCGCTTGCAGTGGCCACTGGTGGTGAGCAGGGCCAGTGTGGACAGGTGCAGAGTGCAGGGTCTGGGAGAGCTTGGCCCAGCTCTGAGGTCTCCAAGGCCTGGAATGGCAGGGGCTGAGTATAGAGGGGGGCAGGCCTGCTCTTTGGGGCTTCCAGGGCTCTTGTGTGACAGCAGATGGGGCCACACAAAGATAGAGGCAGAGGCTGGTGAAGTAGGTTCCTGCGTAGTCATGCAAAACTGCATGAGGTAACGTTGCACAGGACTCAGAAGTGGTGCCCGGGGAAGAGAGGGGCCTTTCTGGAGGTGAAACCGCACACCTGCCTGTGTGGGGGAGGGTGTTCAGATTAAGCAGATGCCTGTCTGAAGTACCCTGAGGTCCTTTGAAGGCTCCGGGCCATTTAAGACATGATGGGCTCCCTG